GGCCCGTATGAAAGTTCCTCGAGAAAACAAGTTTTTATTGATCTGTGATGCTTGATTTTATAAAATTGCATTCCACATATTATGACCAAGATACTTTATCCATGGCAGATGTTTTAGTCAGTGAATCAGTGCTTTCTTCTTCCAGACTGGTACGAATAGCGCGTCATTCCGACAAAAGCTTTGGAACAGAACTCCAGGAAATACGATGAAGTGAAAGAATCTGCGTACACATCTCGAAGAAGAGTATCTGGGTATTTACTAAGATCTGAACAGCCCTGCTCTTCCTGTAATGAATGTTGGTCGCCTTCGATAGACAGCTTGTTCTTCCAGTATTGGTCTCGAGCCGCCGACATGTCTAGGAACCATGCTGCAAATTGCTGTGAAGAAAACGATGAACTTTCAATCATTCTTTCACCCCTTCCGAAATGCGTCGGAAAAATTGAAGCGACAGCGACAGCTTCTTTTCCATAACTCTAACGTGATGACTATGTACAAGCCAATTGGCCAGGAATTTGTGCAGTTCGCTGAGTACAAAGAGACCCTACAGCAATGTGAGCGTCAATACTGTAACCATGTCGGCTTTCCCCATCTGCTGTGCATTCATCCCACTCTATGCTGGCTGGGAGGGAAGTTTCTGAATGGTTGCCTTGTACGGTGTACGCGAATCCTGTGACGTCCAAGTACCGCTTGCTTATGCTTGCACTGGTGAATTATTACCTTGGAGCTTCAATCAACCGAAGGAAGGTTATCTACCTGTCACATGTTCGATCAATCGTCCTTCTGTTAACTTACGTTTGCTTTTGATACCGTGTACCCGATCCCGAGACCTGGCAGTCCGAGCCTCCCGTCCGTATATCTAATATTCTTAAATCTATACGAAACTCTTGACGATAATAACATCGTAGCTGGTGGACGGAAAACTCTTTTTGAGCAGTGAAAACTCAGATAGATTCTGGCGCACACCTTGGTGTGTAGGTAGTCCTGCTACGCTCAGTTTGTTGTGTTTGGGGGCAATTCGGTGAGAAAACTCGTGTATTTTATCGAGACGTGCAAAGGATATGAGTTTCTCTAACGCATCGATCAGCATGAAGTGCCCGTTGTTCTCAAAAGGAGCAATTCGTAGCGCATCGATCAGCATTGCACACATGCGAGTTCTTACAACCACCTTGGGGAGCATACTCTGAGGAAGCTGCGTGGGGCGAAATTCTCCGAGGCGCACGGTGTCCGATACAGATAATTAATTCGACGGGTGAACTTGAACATGAACATGTGTGTGCTCGTAGAATGGCGAGGCGCCGTTGGCTGAAGACGGTTAGGCCGCTCGGCAAGTCGTCCTACGGACTCGTGAATGTGTCTGAGCTGGTGACAAGCGAGTGTCAGGCTCGTCTGACGACCAGTCGACAAGTTGGGGTGTGCCTGCGCATGCGTTTCGAGGTCGGATGAAGTCACGGATGAAGTATGCGTGAGTCATGAAACCATCCACAGTGCTCATTCTGTTGGTCACGACATACGACGAGGTCTGGTGCGAGGTAGGCAATGTTGGTGGGGGTAGTCAAAATGTCGCTGAGAGATGCTTTAGAGGGTTTCTCGGAGACCTACGCAACCGCCAGCCCTAACATGACGATGCCGTATCGCCTTGCTTGCTTGCTTGCGGTTGATTATGATCCGAGTGCGAGTTACATGTTTGGTTCCTTTGGAAGCTTTTGAGCCGAGCGTCGAGCTATGATGATGCCGGCCAGCCTTGCATCAAATCTCCGAGCGACATTTTGACCACCCGCCTCGTCAAAGCTGACCGAATTGGCAACAGATCGGATCAGCTCTACCATACCATTTGCATGGAGTTCCTCCAGCGGAGACAGAAAGACATGGTATGCTTTCCGGTTACCCAACCTTCTCGAGTGAATGGTTCGAGCGACGAGAGGCCGCATCGTACGATGTTAGAAACTCTCATGAAGCCTGAGGTTAATCCATCCGCCAGGCTTTCTGTATAGGATCAAATTCGAAGTACGAATCTACGCTATCCAGGCGATCTCAACGTTTTCTGTCGATCGGTATGCGTGAACTGGATCCACTCGAGCATTGGATCGGAGACAAAACCTGCTCCACTCTGCAGCCATGAATGCGTGACCCAGTCCTTGTAATCATGTCCGATATTCTTACATTTACAAAGTGGTCATGACTTGCGGAAAAGTTGCAAGGCTTGCTTTCGGGCTTTTCACTTTCTGAGACGAGATAACTCGGCACTTGTAACACATTCCTTTGCCAATGATCTCATGGTTTATGTCACTCACGTGACTATTACCTCTAATGCTCCAGACAAATTGTTGGACATGGTCTTGGCCAAAGAATTTCTCGTCATCGTCCGTCACATAGCGGTGACACTCGCATCAGATACTCGGCCTCCCTCGAGATGATATCCGTCAACATGCAAGCGTGTTGCAAACGCGGTGAGGTTTCTCGGTCTCGACCTCGTGAGGATATAGAAATTAAAATCCTGAGACTGATCTGAGCCTTGATTAGAACCAAACCTCGCTCAGTGTCTCGGATTCTGTCAACAGTGGGCTAACGCTAGAGCTGGAGGGAGCATGCACAATGGGTCGTGACGCATGTACCGTGTGTCGACCAGTTCCCTGGTTCTACAGTTCTCGTCGCCTCTTTTTCTCTACCATCTTGATGATGCTCTGTACCTGTGTCTAGAATGTCCGGCGAGTGGAAACACGAACATTCATTCACAGGTCAGGTATTCATGCCAAACCTCGGCATCTTCTGCCTAGCTAACGGCATACGAAGGCCCACTTGCACGAGCAAGCGCCTTTCTCTCTCTTCCACTCGGTTCGATGCGTATATCTCTCCAGTCGTGTCGTTCGACCATGCAGCAGCAGCATCATTTACCCACTTGACAGCTTTTACTCTTTTCCCCACAATCTTTTAATCTGGATCTCCTCAGGCCCTTCTTTTGAAAAGATCCCACCTGTACATGGATCGACCGAGGCACTGTTGAATCCAGTGCACTGTACGAGCCCAGGGCCTGATCATCTTGTCCCTAACGGCGATATTCAGATGATCATTATCAAGGCTAGGCTGGGGGAGCCTTCTCTCAGACAGAGACATATGGCGATCCGTGGAGTTCATTGAAATCGACGCAGCTGTCGACACTGTGAGCACGGTCATACATACATACATACGACTCGACAGCAATGTGAAGCTGGTCTAGACTCTCAGATAACGTAGTCGGCGATTTGGCACTCATGAGCCGGACTGCCTCGGACCCAAGCAGGTCCACATCTCATTGTTTAATCTTCTTCGGGGCCGAGAGCCACCTCGAACCACCGTCCATCATTGTCTTTACAGGACCCAGAAGCCTGTTTGCCAAAGACACTGAGAATCTCTGTGGCCGGATCCTCTCTGGAATATAACGCGTGAGATTTCTGACATGAGCGCGCGATTTGAGAACCCTCTCTTATCACTGGGCTGCAAGCGTCTCCTGTACCATTGGGGTGTTCTGGTTCCGGCTGCGGAGAAATGTCTGTTATGGATCCGGATCTGAGTTGAGAGCAGCCGCAGAGGTATATGTTGCAAAGGCCTCCAACGCATGCACACCCAGCCCAAATATATTCAATTGAATGAAATGAAAGAATGTGATTCAGCGGGCCATTCGTACGTCCCTTGCGCAATCCGATTGTTTCGAGAACTGAGTGAATGTGCCTCGTATGTTCTCCCGCATTTCAATGAAAGCATCTGACCTCAGATCTCGAGAAACGAGTGTGGTGCACATACTTATCATAACTGAACGATCGCGAGCAATGCCTCCGACGGAGTTTAAAACGAAGTGGAAATAGAAGTGGATCCCTGCAGGCCGTAATCCAGGGCCGAGATGACCCATGTCAGGACGCATGTGGATTATCGATTTCTAACCAACGACACTTGAACTTTCTCTTTCCGGCTCTCGCTGTGGAAATCTCGCTCGACTGCGGCTGCGATCCCTGCGTTCGGGCTTTTAACATTCTTTGGATTCGGCTGGCAGAACTTCATCGTTACTGCACAAAGATCTTGTTGTACTTACTATATAGTATCTAGGTTGTGAACTGCGTATGTCACGATGACTCGTGAAAGTGCTGACCAGACCTGGTGTGTGTCATGAATGATGCTCCGAAACGCTGATATTCAACATCAGAACGTGCATGCGGATCATTGCACACGTCTGCCCCCCTGTCACCGAACGTAATATTGTGACTTTTCAGCATCGAGACATGCAAATGATTGTCGAAACAGTGCAATGACACCCGTAGCTCTTCTTCTTCGTCCATGTATTATCCTTCCTTCCCTCATGCGAATCATGCCACCCCTTTGCAGTGCTTCCGTAGCCAAGTCACGGCACGGGTCGAGGAAGAAATGAGCGACATTTCCAGAACATCGTTTGCTCATATGCCTGTGCTTCAGTCCTGCACCTCATCCACTCAAACCGTCTGGTCTCAGACCACCGAACTTTAATATCTGAATGTTTAGAAAGTCTGCACTCAAGAACGACTATGTATGAACTATTAGTCAGAAGCATTCCTTGATCACCTGTTCTATAAGCATCTTCCCGAAACGATGATCAGTGAGAATTAGAGAAAACTCCGGAAGTTTAGACATGCATCAGGAAGATTACTTTGAGCATGATGGACAGGCTTGATTATTTGTTACCTTCTCCATGGAAGAGCTCGTCCTCTATTCGTGTCACCTAGAGTATAGCAGTTGTCCGATGGGCAAATTGGCCAACATATGTTGGTCACTAGACATTTCATTGTCCAAGCATGCAATCCAGTCCATGTTTTCCTTGTTTAGATGCTTTGACTTACACATACTCGAATGGGAGTGAGTATAAAATCTCAGCGGTTGCTGGCCTCGACCGACGCCCACAGCGGATATGTATCATCGTTTGCATCACGGACTCGAGTAGACTCCAGATCATGTTGCACTTTCCGAACGAATGCATTGCCGGCAGGGATTAAAAATTTGGCACTCAGATTTATTGGCTACATAACATATATGCATTGGTGATGGGGCTCGCTGCTCTTGCAGTGGGCGGTTTGTAGTCAAGAGAAATCTTTGAGACAAGACCGTCCGAGAAATCATCGTCAAAGTAGGAAGTCGTGCATGGAGTAGATTACCGTACTGGGGAGGTCCTAAACATACACCCTTGGTGGCGGGTTAAGGTACGATACGAGCCCCGAACAGGAGCAGGAGCAGCACCGAGAGAAACAGTGCTGAGGCCAATATGGTGTCGATGGGGCCCTCCAGTCACACTTTGCAACAACTTTATTGAATCGTTCTGAAGAGGCAGAGTCGAGAAAGAGAAAAGATAATGACATCGTAGAATCGAACTGTACGAGTTCACTCGTCGCAGGGAACACTCGGTCCTGCACTCGTTGTCTTGCAGCAATCGTAGTTACTGTTCGAACAGTGAATTTACGGAGCGCTCTGAAAAGGGGAGCAAGGAGGCGGATGAGGAGAAGTGTCAAAGGAAGTAAGAATCTCCAGCTCATTTCATTCCGCTGTTGACAATCTACAAACGTAGGCCTGCACACAAGTTTTGAAACTCAGGTCGACTCAGCGTCCGTTGCGTCAGTCAGTTGTTGCAGTAGATCTCCATATCCTCAGGTATCGGTCAGCCAGCAGTGATTCAGGAGAAAGTCAATGTCAAATCCGCATCAATGACCGAATGAGCAAAATCCGTAGGCCTACTCAGACTCTAGGCATCCATAATTTAGGAGTATCTATGCACCGATTCTTCTCCACATATGGACATGACCCAATAGTACCCTAGTGCAAGAGCATGGAAAGTAGAACCGGAGCTCCAATTTAAAACTCACAGCTACAAGCTCCGCGGATCGTAGACCAATGGAACGAGGCAAGCATACAGTTACCACGATGGCCACAGTAACTCTTCGCTTTATGAGCCCTGCCTGCCTGCGGTTGTGGATCTGAGGCTGCTGTGAGACGCAAGATAGATATAAAGGTCGAGCACGCAGAGCACAGCAGAGCTGTCTGTTTTAATGCGCAGAACGAACTTTTCTCCTTTTACCTTTTACCGCTGCACAGGACTCCCCCCTCCTCCTCCTCCTCCTCCTCCACCTCTTCCACCTCCTCGCTTGGCAACTTTCTTCCTTCATCTCGTCCACGCGCTCTCTCGCTGCCTCCCTGCCTCCAGCCAGCCGGCGAGCCAGCCACGGTCGGGCAGGCTGAGTTGTTTATTTGCTCAACCGGCGCACTCATGATCAACACCTTCCTCGTTCATTTGATTGAAACAGTGGCATGTCCGGCCCTGAATGGAGGGAGCGCTCTTTGAGCCGAGAGCAAGACAATTGTGTACACCCACTGGTGGAGACCAGCACCAGCACCAGCACCGTGTGGCCAGATCTGCATCACGTTCATGCACCTCATGGCATGAGAGGATGATTACCAGCAAATCATCCTCTCATGATCATTATGAGGGCTATTTGGCTTCTCCGCCCCGGCCGACAACCCCGACCGCGGGCCTTCTTGCTTAGGAGCGCATATTCTATAATTGTCGAGATTACGATAAATCATTGGGCCTAGATGGATCGATCGATAGATCTTCGAATCCTCGGCGATTTCTGCACGCTGATGCATTCTAGACATGCCACGAATGTAACAGAGGCAGCGAGACCAGGAGACTGGCTGCTGCTCACCTGGCGAAAGTTGCCCCTCTTTCCATGAGAGGGCGGCCAAGAGAGGCGCCTGTTAACCCAAATCCAAATACTAACAACATTCCTGAGACACGCACTTACGCTGGAATGCGCAGAATCTTGTGCATGCCACTGTCTCCTTGATAGATATGGCCTATCGGAAATCGATCAAAAGAAGAAAAAGGGCTCACCGGTACGACCATTCGGCAGATCCGAATAACTCAGCCTAGCGCCTGGCTCGCTAGGCCAAGTACTGCTCGATTCTCATGGAGCAGCTTTTGATCCAATAGCTGTGTCTCCAAGATATATTTCTAAATCATGCACATGTGTGTCCATGAGTGGCCTGGCTGCTGCTGCTGCTGCCGCCTCCTCCTCCTACTGGCGAGAGGAGCACTTTTAGCAACTGTCAGTGCGCTAACTAGTGTTTGCCGAGCCCTCGAGTCTTCTCGAACTACCATGCCGACACCTGAAGCCTACGCATTGCCAGCCAAACCTTTGCTCCCGGAACCTCACTCGAACGAAGTGGATAAGAGCCGCAAGCCTGTAGCCTGGTAGCCGTGTGCAGGCGAGTACCGTGCTAACAGAAGACATGTGTAGAACGGCCCCGTCTCATACCATCCGTAGACATGTGCGCTTTCCGCTGCAACCTTGCGCCCGCAGTATCGAGAGCGACCTGCTTGCTTCCAGAAGTAGTCGTAGGTTGGTGTACCTACTCGACGAACTGGAACTATGTCGTGCGAGGGAGGGGAGCTTAGATTTACTGGAGCTCGGGAGGTCTTTCGACCAGCGAACATGTTGCTCTCGAACCTTGTGAATGCGCTGTGTCTAAGCTCGTGATCGGCCGGCCGGTCAGTCACCAGCTACACTAATCTGTAGACTGTGCCCGCGATCCCATCTCGGCGTCTGCCGTGATCGAGAGAGTTCTGTGAGCGCAATGGCGCACACGCCATAGGCGATTCGACATCCGAAGGGTGCACGCGACATCAATCGCAGGACTTTTGACAACTGCACTTTGAACGCAACTTCCTGCATGTCACGAGCTCTAGTTCCAGAACTCGTGGACGAATCTCCGTCTATAGGACTCGCTCGCTCGCTCGCACGCCATCTTGTCCATTTGGCCATCTCTGAAAGGCCACCTCTCCACGTGCACTCATTATCATGATGATACTGGCTCGGATTTCCACGCAGGAGTGTCCTTTGAAGAGATCAATTTATTATCTGCTACCTCATCTTCAGTTCGTCATTTCCAAACTTCCTGTTACGATAGTCGAAGTGTACTTCGCTGGGTAGCAGCTACTTCCTCTACACTGGTAGCGAGATTTGATTTCCCGTTCGAAACCATGTATGAGACGATTGCAGTGCATCCGCTACAAGAACTGACATTGCTGTCCACACAAAGTGTAAGATCTCACTTAAAGGTGCACCGGACAACAGCAAGAGTCCATCCCCATGGTGATCTTAAGAAGCATCCTCCAAGTTTGCATATCCGACTCGAACGCTTGGAGTTACAATGGCTTCCTCCACGTTACTCGCAGCTAACTCACTGTCAGCTAACACGAGAACTAACGTGAGGACCTGAGCGGTTTTGTTTAGAGCCATTTGTGTTTACCTCGTCACATCCGTCTTACTTCTGGAGGACAGCTGCTCTTGAATCTAGCGTCTCTTCCACTTCTCCTTTTCTTTTAGTGTGTATGTTTGAACATGCAGACAATGACATTCATCCCCCAGGGATCGCAGGCACACCTTGTTGCGAGGACGTAACGCTTACATCGTGTGAATCACCGGACACGAATCGAAATTCTTGTAAGAGAGCAGTGTGGTTGCTAGCTTCAATCTCCTCCGATCATAACCATGTCCGTTGTTTGCCTGCGGACCTACTCTGATCTGTAAAAGCAAATTTGGCTTTTGTGCGCCACGGTTCTAGACACCTAATCCTGCAGCCTGGATTGTTAAGTTCAGTCTGATATCGAATTTTCGAGCGTTTGCGTGACTGCCTAACACTTCTTGGAGCTACATTAATATGAAACCTATCCACGAGTGTGCCATCATTACTTGCAAGGTCAAGTGGGTTGAAAGAATTCCCCAAAAGTGGACCCCTTTCTACATCTGAATTTGTACACTCATGATCTGCACATGGGAACACATGCTTTAGCTTCGAATGTGGATTCTGGACTAGATGAGCCGGCATAATGAACAGGGAAGCCATATGCGCAGAACCTATGAAGTACTGTGCCAGCTGCAAATCGTCAACTGTACTTCGGTTTCGCTTGACAAGACGAAGACGCCATCCATGGAAGGCTTCTGGGAACTCCTGTGCTATTGTCAAGTGATAGTGGATGTTGGCATGTACGCAACTGCCGTGTACCGTCATAGAAAATTAATAACAAACAAAAGTACTACTACTTCGTGGACAAAAGGATGCGAGATTGATAGACTGAGAACTTTAACTTGATGGAAGCTGCATATCCACAATCACAGGTATCTGTTACTTTCCTAAGATCCCAACAACCATGAACAGTACGCAAGTTGCTGCAGGCATTCTGAACAGATTGGGCATCAAGCTACCACCACAAGACTTGGGACTTCAAACACAAACTACCCCAACTTCCTGTCAGTTTGACTCCCTCACGAATTCGACAATCACATGTCTGCTGCACCCATTTCATGTTTTCATGGCTCCACAGTGATTACTCGCAATCCAGTGACTTCCTGACAGTGAAAATTCTGCAGATATCCCTACACTTGAGGTTCAGCCTACAAACTTCATAACTATGAGCGTTATATAACAAGTCCGGCGATCGGGTATGTTCTAATGCATGGATCCCACCATATACAGAAAGCTGTGAGTATGCTCACACGTCGTCGATGCTGAATCACATGTAGTCTGGCTGGCGAGTGACTGGTTTGAAACAAGCCGACTGATATGCCCTGTCGTCCTCGGTGACAGCCCAGTGATCCTCTTGTCAATGAGATCTTCTCCCCTTCTTCATTTGCACAGGGTGTACTCTGATCTGACTACAAACCTCTCCTTCTGATATGAAGTAGCTGGATCTGCAGGCATGTGGACGACGAGTGCTGCGCAGTGCATATACGCATGTATATCATCCGGGGCTGGCCAGGATTTTTAAAGAATTCTATCCACTATACTCGTTGTCAACTTAGCGGCAGACATGTACATTCTCGAGACATGAGTACAGCAATGCACTGTTCAACGACGTAGACCTGTTGTACAGTATATAATCCTTGAGGAGATGAGATGTGCGCTCTGACTTTCAACTGTCAACTCAAGGCAGCACAAGCTCACAGCTTGCTTTGAATGTTGGTATCTCGACCTTGGTTGAGAAAATGATCATACGAACTTCATGGCTCATGGTTTGATTATTAGACATTCACCAAAGGACTGCAACAGGTTTCATTGAAATATACGCATTCGGTACATTAAATGTACGTTCACCCGTAATTACTCTAGAAAACATGTACTCTTGAATGTGTGCAATTTTCAACATGGTAAGGAATTTCTGAAAAAGAGCTCTTTCCACCAGCGAGTGAAGTGAGGTAACAAAATCTGCTCGTGTAAATGTTGCCAGAGTATTTTCAATGACGGGACTCTGGTATGATAATGGGTCTGAATTGTTTCAAACTGAAACTCTTCAATTATAAAAATGTCAATAAGTTTCTACGGAGAATCTACGTTAATAAAGGGGCCTATTTATACCTAGAATAGTAAAGTGTACATCAGTACAGTTCTAAAAACTAGAAAATATATATGTTCAACTCCGTTACGTATCCAATTGTTACGTTCATATCTTATACCCCATCACTATCGTCATTATATTGTAGCATTATTTGGGTACTACCACTTCTCTAACACCTATCTCAAGATCTGCTGTACGTGTTGAGCGTGCAGTCTACTTTGGAATGGACTTCATGTAGTAGAAGTAGAAACTGTCCGTCCAACTGTAACGGAGCTGAAGATTCTCATGTCTCTTGCAGTTGATTACTACGGTACAATATTTGATGCAACCATGAGATCCATGCCATGTGCATCATGCATCATGATCACATCATCGGCTATTCCTCATCTCCGTGCTGTAGACGTAGTCGAGTGTTTATACATACGAAGAACATGTGATCCTCGTTCTATTTGCAGCTCAAATAAGTGTCGTCGGTTGCAAGAATATTAGTGCCACGTATCCCACCGAGATTTAGCTGACACTTATTAAGACTGCAAAATACGAATTCAAATTCGTATTTTTATGCAGTATCGTTAATGGATTCACAGCAGGTCTTTGCGAAGTGAGCCAAAAGTGGTCTGACTCACAAAATTCTGCCCTTGATTCGTGGTCAAATTATTGGCCTCTTCTCGTTCCTGAACTGCGTGTTGTGGTGGCCAACGGTACTTTCGAGCAAGGACCTTTACTCTGTGCTTCAGTGTGGATACCAATTTATAAATCCAAACCTGAAGGGCTAGACTGGTAAACGATCTGAGTTTCCTCTTCGTTTCATTTCATTTGAACTCGAGTATCGTACTCGCCAACTTTGTCAAATAAAAGAATCTTCGAATTTGAAATCTAATTCATAGACTTGTCTAACTGCTCTTCAGGATTCCACAGATTGAGAGGAAACAATCTACTTTGGGCTGTTTGCGTCACACGCGAATTTAGATCTACTGCTAATGCGATTGTGATGTCAACTGGGCTGGGAAATTCCAGAAACAGCTGCGTCCTCCTCTGGTCATGTTGTCGTTGCAACGTGCGAGGAGAAAGTAGGAAATTTTCTCTTGACAAGTGTTTTGCAGTAGAGAAGAAAAGAATGAAAGTTACGGAAGATTTGCCTCGGATTATGAGCCAGCTTTTTTTGAATCGGCTATGTACGAGAGCAAACAAGAATATTGGAAGCTGTGCCATAGCCAGCGCATGCTATAGCTGGTGAACCTGCTTTTATGGAACTACTTACAAACGGTGTCCATAAGTATCTTCACACATTTTGATTCCAACCCATATGATATCACACTCTTTGATTTCTTCTCCACTTATAGCGAAGATTTTGTCACCGTGAGCGTTTCATGGTTTGGTAAATGAACACATCCTACCCTCATGCTATAAAGCTTCATAGTTTACAATAGTTTAGAAATATTGTTAGCATATTATACATTCTTCGAAATTCAATCTTTCTATACTCTCCTTGACATATTTAAATTTCTACTATGATTACCGATACCCTTCATATTTTTTCTAGATTATATTACTCTTGTCTTGGACTCAAATCTGCTTGTGTATGTATATTATATGGAGCAATTACCTTACAATATAATATGTTATAACTACCTTCGTACAAGGAGTTTCGTTTTATTTTAAATAATAATTCCTTAAATATAATCATAAAAGGGTGATAATGTATTTATATCTTATATGTATGTACAATCATGCGATCCAGATGATTAAATTTTCTTTGATCAATATATATCATGGTAATTCCATTGGAAACTAGCACTATGTTCACTTCTCTTGAGACATGATTCATATCCTTTTTGTTATATAATCTGTTCGCTCCTTGTAATCTTAAATTATGAATGCCTCTGTAGAGAACTTTCAATGAAGACATGATTTCCCTTAAATGCTACTTCTACTTTTGTGTAGAGCACCCGCACATCTCTTTCATTGAAACTAGCAAATAATGTGAAAAAAATACGATATATCTAGAATGAAGACAGAGAACTGGATACACATGTTTGCAACTCCATCTTCATTCATATATTTCCGTATGAGAAAACCATCTCTGCCCGTCTATTTAACTTGAAATGAAACGTGGACAATCGTATC